TCTAGGATGGCTGTGCATATCATGTGTAATTTTCTGAGTTTACCTTTATTTAGTGGCTAGAAAATAGCTTTTTAAAGAAAGTGAGATTTTTTTTTTCCAGTGGGAATATTATTTTAAAGTTTTGTATTTAATGTTTGGGTTCCTATTTAATTTTTTATTCATATTTTTGCCCTGATTGAATTTTGATCACTCTTTTTTGGGTAAAATTGGTGGGAGGTGTTCATAAAAATGATTATGCTGTAACAAAGGAGTTGAATTTAATTTGATACTTGCTTAGCCTTAGTTTTACAATGTACATGTGGATGTACAATGAGCTGAACCTCCAGGGAAGTCCTGTAAATCCCTGCAAGCAGAGTGCAGTTCGCCTTAGTATTTAATCTAGCAGTGAGCTTCCTCTGAAGAAGGTCCCCTTTTCTCTTCCCCAGTGATGGCTAATCCATGTCCCACCCAATTAATTCATCTTCTGTCAGTTCTGGAAGCTAAAGCAGCCTTGTTGCTGCATAGAGAGCAAAGATAGGGGGATAGGATGCAGTAGAGGAAACTGAACAGGATGAAACAAACCCCCCTCTTTCTGCAGCAGTGAAAGGTTAATTCATGCTAAATGCAGCATAAAGTAAACCTCAGGTGTTGATGGTTTGGATGGTGGACTCATACAAATTGCTCAAGAAATATTAAGGACCCTCTGAGCTAAGAGCTGCATGACTACAGAACGGTGGGCAGTTTCTCGAACTGAATCTGAAAAAAATGGAGAAGCAGAAAACCAAAGACAGACTCTCAAATCACTGAGATACAGAGCTGTGGCCTCACAACCAGATGATCCAGTGTTCAATGAACAAACCTCTCTCATTGCCAGAGTTAGAACTCTTCAAGTTTATCATGCTTTTTACTGACATCTCATAAGGATACAGTATTGTGGAAAGCAGACTTACAGAGTACAGGTAGAGAAGAGCTGAAATCCTCAGATGTTTTCTGGGACATGCTTTCATTGGCAGTGGCAGAATCTGTCAGTATCTATTTAGCACTGAGTAACTATCTGATGAGAAACTAATTTTTGATTTTAAGAAGGAACAAAGCCCTATTTCCTTTACAGAGCTATTCAGTAGCCTGTGTAATATGGATTTTACTCTATTTTAAGTGCCTGCTTCTTCTTTCTTGATCTCTAAATTGACATCCCCATCCCTCATCCCTCTTATGTTGGTTTTGCCAGTAAAAATTGCTCTTCTGTGGACTAGCAGTTAGAAGGGGTTGTGTGGAATGACTGGGATGGCAGTCCTCAGATAGTCTGCATTATATAAGCTGTGCTTTCCACCCAGGTGGTTAATTAAACTTGGTCTTCAGATCCCAAGACAGAAACCACTTATGTGCACACTTCATTTTAATAATGTTTTTCTGTTCCTCTGCCCCAAGACTCCTAGCCCTATCTTCTGATTTGTCCATTCTCAAGAGGGAGAAAAGGGAATGTAAGGACAAAAGGAGAGTGTGTGGCTCTGTGTAGTCTCATTTTGGGCAAATAGTCTTGTCTGGGGGTTGTAGATTAAGTGAGGGAACATCTTACAACATCACTGTGGATTGTCTGAATGATGTGACCTTTGGAATAGGTGCTATATCCATCCCAAAGAAGGAAAAAATTAACAGTAGCAATAAACTATTTTATCATTCAGTGTTCCATCCTCTGCAATTGCATTATTGTTCTGTGATGAAGGTCCTGCAATTTAACCTGCTTTGTTACCCTGTCAGTGCCAGGATATGTATACAGATAATTGTGGGTATGATTTTTACTTACACCTGGGCAGACCATGTCATTTTTTTCAGCAAAAATTAACTTGGTATCTTAAAAACTTGGGATTTATTTCCCTCAAACGTATCACGAGCTGAAGTCACTCTTGGTTCCATGTAGTCTGAATGTGCTTCTGGGTATTTGCTACCAGGAATTTGGCAATTGCTTCTCAGTCCTCTGTGACACATCCTATAGGGGTTTCCCACAGCTCAAAATCAGGTGCAGAAATCTCCTCTTAACTTGGAGCCTGATTTTGCTAGCACTTTTGCACGTGAGTGAGTGCTCCGGTGGCTGGTTGTAGCTGCTTGTGTCAGAATAACACAGGACACACCAGAGTTTCAAAAGGAAAGTCATGCACTTGTATTGCTTTTATTGTTTAATGTGAGTTGCTTTCTGTGAAGCTACTTGGCCTTGAAGGCTTTCCTTGTAGTCAAGGGCAGATGGAATGATGTCTTCTACAACAGTGTATAGTAGGTGTAAAATGCTGCCAGATCTCAGCATTGTTTTCACATCAGTTTTGCACTGCTAATAACTGCAAGGTGTAAGTTAATTGAAAATAAGCCTTTATCTATTTCAGAGGCAGGGGTAATTCCTGCCTTGCTTTAGTGGTATTTTCCTTTGATCATTCACATGCTGTTGGAGAGACAGAAACACAGAACATATTTGGCAATAGATAGGTATTTCTTTCACCAGTGTAAAACTACACCTGTCCCTAAATTAAATGATGGGAAAAGAGGAAGCGGAGGAGGAATGGTTGAGTTTGGAGACAATATAAATTATTAATAATAATTTATAATATTAATAAGAGTTAAGTGTGGAGCCTGGCAAGGCACCTGCACTGAATGCAGAACACAACAGTAGAATATAGTTAAGGAAGAGGCAACTCTCTCTTTATAGAAGATTATAGAGCTTCAACACTATTTTTTATTCATTTGGCCTCTCTGCAAATGTTGTGATACCAAGTTCAGTTTTATACCAGTATTTGAATATTGTGGTGAACTGCAGGCACTAGGGGAGGTCAAAGAAAGCATTTGGGGCTACTGTCATTGTAAACAGCCCTGTGCTAAAATCTAGGTGTGATCAGGTTACCTTGTGTCAGCTGAACCACGGTAACTAAATGTAAACATTCTTACTCTACTTTTTCAAAAACACAAACCACTTCTGGTTTGAATTTTAGCTCTTGTCTTCTGCTTGCATTGGACTGAGGGCATGCAGAGTTAGTTACATTTCCACCTAGCAGAAGTGATAACCTTTGCTTGCTTGGGCAACCTGTTCTGGTACCAGAGCCCTTCATGTCAAGACAAGAAGTGCTGTGTAGAAAGGTATAACATCCTTTATTAGATCACTAATAAGGGACAGTTTAGGGATGTAATTTGGCCTTCAGTAGTGAGCCAAAAGCCACCAAGTCCCTTATGAAATCCAGTTACTCCTTGGTTCTGCACCTCATGGCAGTTCTGCTGGAGGGACACGAGTGCGTTGCAAAGCCTGTTTCTCGGGAGTTGTTGCACACAACTGGCAGTTATGTCATTGACAAGTTTGAGGGGCAAGGGGGTGCAGATGGTAGATTTGGAACTGTCCACACCATCTTTTCATGGGGCTTTTAAGTTGTTTTTAGTAGCACCTGCTCTGTCAAAGAAGGTTGGCTTCCTTTGGGACTTGCCTGCAAGACATCTTTTCTGGTTTGAGCCTGGACAGAAGAAATCGCATCAGAAAACTAATTTAACAAAAACATTTAGTTAAAAGTAATCGGTTGTCATATTTCCCTGGGAAGGAAGGAAAGGTGTTTCTAAGTGGCCATAAAAGTATAAATACCATCTGTATGATGTATTCTTATTTTTTTCTGGTTTTAGGAATAACTTTTGGATTATGTTTGGAGACACACTGGGTACACAGTAATTCTTATTCTTGGACTTCCATACTATGTTTGTATTACTTCAAGTGAAAAAGACAGCAAGTATCCGGGCCTTTACAGTCATTTTCATCCCTTAGTAATCCCTTGTCCTGATGAGCAGAGAATAGCTTAGTGCAAAGATGTGCTATATTGCATCAGGTGATTTTTTGAGGAATGCCTCACATATTACTCTGCTATTTTGCTTTTACCTAGATGCTGTTTTCATGTATGCTGCTATCTTCTAAGGATGTGACTTATTTTCAAATATGTTCTTCCTTAACATACAAATGTGCTGCTCTATATGCAGTGAGCACCTTGTATCCCAGTGTCAGAGATAAAGTCTGCATATCTAAATAATCTTGGATTTATTAGCCAGTTCAGAACCAGAAAGATAATTTTCTAGACCAAGTATTTCAACAGTACCTCTGTAGGAGAGGACACTTTCAGAATTTAGCCCTTTAAACTCATGCTTTTAGGAGACTTCTTGATTTGGTTTGTGAGGTACAGTGTACTGGCATCAATGTAAGAAGCTCTGTTTGTCTCTGTGGACTTCAGAAGAGTCCGAATGAACTGGCCTGATGTTCACAGTGCAAGATCTTTTATAAGTAGATGACAAATCACATAAGCTTCAAAGGCACAGCACCTTATAATCTGGAAAAAAAGGCATCTCTGACCTCTCCTTTAGCTGAATGTGTGAAGGAGAATAAGGTCCTTGCAGTTTGTTAGAGGTGAATTTCTTTCCACCTGCCTGCATGACCCTCTTTGCCCATGTTTTTGCCATGCTTTTAGTGGCATGTTGGGCACATGGTCTCTGAGGTTATGGACTGTTCCCAAATTATGTGTTCAGTTAGCCCCACTGTGTGATAGGTATGACACATTTAGCAGTCCTTCACAAAGAGGGGTTTTTGTCTTGTATTCAGACCTTTAAGCCCTCATGGAGATTTTAGTAAAATGGAGAGTTATGATTTCAGCTGAAGGCTTTTTTCTTGTGGTGCAGATAGCTCCTAAGGGAGCTTAGTTTATGGATTGCCTCCTTTTCCCTGAATATTAAAACATTTTATGGTACATACCCTTTGGTTCTGGTAGATTGCAGTTCCTTTATGCAGGCAATAAGCAAAAGCATATTCATCAATAATAATATGGCAATATACTTGATCTCCTTTCCATGTTTCACTTCACCCCACACATTAGTGGGTTGACTCTTTCTTTATGGATGAGCAGCTTGTCACGGTCTTTTAGAATTTATTGTCAAGAAGAATTGTGTGTAAAAGCCTTAAATGGTTCTTAGACATCTGATACTGTTAAAGCTTAGATTTTTCCTTTATTTTTCAGGATTCTAGTGCATGAAGGACGTAAATGATAATCCCAGAGGACCATCTGTCCTGGAGCAGGCGTTGGAACCAAGTTACTATGTGACTGAAAGGACTGAGTGCAAGTCAGATGGTAAGTAAGACAAGGAAGATGAGAGTTATCATGCTGTCACTTCAGTACAGATGAAAAACACTGCCATACACTCTTTCAGAACTTATCCTAAATTTCAGGTTTTAAGTGCTTTGCAAAGCCCAGTTAGCATGGAAGGTAGCTTTTTCTAGATCTTTTCATGGTGGAATATATATTCATGTGGTTCTCACATCATTCAGAGTCCATTTTACCTCCACTGCCTACTTAATGTCTATGCAATTCTTTCTAGCTTGTGTTTCTAAGGAAGTCTAAAGGATTGAGCCTTTGTCTCTTAAAAGCTTCTTAGGAAGTCCTTTTAAATCCAGTCCATAGCTGTTTCAAGCATTTTTTTCTTCTTTCTTTATAATTTATTTACATTTTACCATGAATCAATTAGTTTTGTTTAATCATCAAGGAAGTGGGTGTTCTCAAGCCATTCTGGATAGTCCATAGCTGTTTCAAGCATTTTTTCTTCTTTCTTTGTAATTGATTAATGGTAAAATGTAAATAAATTAGTTTTGTTTAATCATCAAGGAAGTGGGTGTTCTGAAGCCATTCTGGACTTGTTTCTAAACATATTCCATCTCTTACAGGAAAGTGTTTCCTGTCTGCATAGTGAGGGTTTTGAATCCTGCATCCAGTGTAGATAAACCTTTTTTGGTTTTATTGGTTGGTTACCTGATTTATTTACTGGTTGCAGTTAGTGCTGCACTTGGGCTGGCCTTTGGTACCTCCTTGCAGACTGATGCAGTTTCTAGTTGTTTTTATGCTGGAGGAACCAATGCATCTCACATGGGTGGGCCCTTGGTATCAACTCCCCACTGCAAAGAAGACCCAGTTTCTGGAAAGAGGATGCTGAAAACCTGTATTAGGGGATGTTTGAAGGGCAAAAGCATGTTCTCTATGCAAATAAGCTATGAGGGAATGAGTTCTATCTGTATAATTTACTGCTAAAAAACCCTTTATGAGCTTTATGATGCCCTTATTTATGCAAGAATCCTGAAAAACTTCAGGTAATTTAGAGGTATTTTTCCTGGGCATTCCCATCTTCTTTACAAATTACATACAAGGGGTCAGATTTGAAGAACTGAAAATCAATGCCTGCCACTCATTTGATGGCAGAAGGGAGGTGCTGTCTTTTATGTAAGCTCAGAGAGTCATGTTAGTGTTACACATTTTGGTGCTTTTACAAAGTTGTCCAGATCATTTGAGGCCAGGGTTAAATGAAGGTCATGAAACATCAATGAGGTGGTGGATTTTTTATTGTGATGGTGGGTAATTGTGCAAAATAATTGCAAGTCTCATTATGTTAGGACATGTACAAACATACAATAAATGACAAACACATGTTTTGCCTCAAAGCACTTATTCTTGATAGCATAAGTAAAAGCATGATAATTTGTTACATGACACTTATGTACTGTATTAATTTCAAAACAAGACATGAGCATCATTCTGCAGCTATACAAAATAATGAATTCAGAAATCATTTCACTGTGCTTATCAAATTTATCCCCTTACTGAAATTTGTAGCAAAATGTAGTTAAAAGTATGGAGTTAACATAAATTTGTTCCATTCACCAACACAGAAACCACACCCCCTCTTTTTTTAGCTGGAATGCTGAAAAAAAATTCATGTGCTATAAATCCAGTATTATGATTCTTAGGGCTACTGAGTATGTTCAGAGCTCTTTCATATTTCACTTTCTATTTCCCATCCACCAATATGACTGCTTTTGGGGAGAAATGTGTGAATAGTTCTGGTGGAATAATACTATTTATGTATTTTTTATTATTTTTTCCCCTGCTGGTTTATTAAGGGTCTTCACTTCCTCCCCTTGTGTCTTTGCTTAGGCTTTGACACTGCCTTTCTCTCATCTTGAGGCCAAAATACCCAGCGTTCATGCACTGATCCTGCAGGTTGTTCATAGAAAAGATCTTTAATCCAGCAGTGATTACTGGCTTACGCTTTATATGTGGGCAGTACAAAGGGAAGTTTTTCAAGCAGTTTTGTTTTTATTGCAGAATAAGGTGTGGGTAGTTCTGCCTTGCAGAAAAGCTTAGCCTGGAAAAACCTGGTGTGGGAGGGGAGAAAGAAAAGATCGACAATCATTTAACATGTGACATCAAAGTGGAATAGTTCCAGCAAAGAAACTGTGCTGAAGCTTCCCAACTGAATGTGAGCTGAAGGTCATGCACTTCCTTTCATGTTAACTTGGTAGAGCCAGCATGGAAGCATTGCTAAAGTACTATGGAAGGAATTCTGTGTCTGGAGGCTATCCCTGGCAAGTGTGCTTGATGAAAAGTACCCTGGAAAGGCCTCAGTCTGAGGTGGCTGAGCAGACTGCTTTTGGCACAAGAGGCAAAGGCACTTAGAAAGTGTCAGTGATGCCAATTTCAGGAAAGGCTCAGGTGTGTAAAATTCAAATCCATGTTTTTAATCTAATGGAAGATGCTCCAATGAATGTTTGAAGTAGAAATCCTTTCCAGGCATTGTCATTGGACTGTAGACTGGCCCTTGTTTCAAATTTGGCAAAGAAAAGGGTATCATTCTGTTCAGCTGTCAGATGCACAACAATAAACTTCAGTATTGCATAAAATACAATGCAGAATGTGGCCAAAGGTCTTCAATGTTGTAGTGCTTAAGTTGAGCAATCAATTACATTCATACAAAGAAAATACTGCTTGCATTGCAGGGCATAGGAGCTAATGAGAAACTTCTAAGGCATGGCTCGATTAGGATAGGTTGGAGGGCAAATTAAAATTCTGAAAGATTACTTTGGAAACTGTTAGAATATGTTTATGCCAGCCAGTTAATACAGACGGTGAAACCATGAAATTATGGACTAGATTGAAAAATGGTCATTTTAAGTAATCATAAGTCTACTTATTTCACAGAATTGCCTCATGTTCACATGCTCACATCCAGCACAGTGCATGAAGCAAAAAAACAGAGTGAAATGAAACTGGATGGTGTTTCTGGAGGCTTGAAAAGTTTTGCTGTAGCTGCACGACAGAGCCACGAGCTGCTCTTGTGCGGGTGGGAAACGGGATACTGATGAAAGAGGTCACATGAGTCTGTGGGGATGAGCAAAATTAAGATGCTATTTCTGAAGGAGTGTGCACTTGGGTTGACAGTTTGAATTTGAAGCCTTTCAGTCAAATCTTTATTAAAGCAAGTTTATTCTGCAGTGTGTACACAAAACACTGTAGAAAATTAAACCAATAAATATCTTCATCTCTTAATTGCATTTAAGAATCAGATGATGAGGATGAGGCAGTTTGCAGTGCCAAGGTAGACTCCCTACAGGTCAGGGACCCTGATTTCATTAAAGAGTTAAATTAAAAATCAACCCATTCCTTTTGACAGGCATCTGTTTGGTAAATTATCATGTGCCAGTTTTAGTTCTATGGTCCTATTGATTTAGATAGTTCTATTGATTTAGAACAGTTTTAATATAGTTGCTTTCAGTATCATCATATCTTTATTAAGGGCTGGATAAGTTCTTAGGTTTTTGGACTTTTTTTCTGTTAATCCTTCTAACACTTGATCCTTTCTCAAGCTAGACAGGTGGCAAGTTGACTTGATGCTCTTCATTCTCCTATGTTCTGCGTAAAATTATCTTGTTTCACACTAAGTAAAGGTAAACTGGCATTTGCAATTTAAAGGCTTGACCCTGTTGATGGTGTCCCCTGATATATACTTACTCCTCTGCCAGCTCCATTAGCCCAGCACAGCAGTCACAACATCAAGGATATCTTATTGTTGAATACCCAGGGTATTACTTTGTTATTCACACTGGGATTTCATGCAGCATTTAAGGGAACTGATTATTTGCTTTCCGAAGATGTTTCAGTGAAAGCTGAAATTTTTTGATACCTTTCAGGCATACTGCATGAAAACACAACAGAATAATTTGCTGATATGTTCCTGGGTTTCAGTCTTCAAATCTTAATACAAGAATAATACTTGAATTATGTACAGAGACTGATGAGCATATACTGACAGAATATTAGGGCATACTTAATGTGGTAAGATCCAGGAGCGCTAGCAGGCAGGCAGCTGTGTTTCAAAGGTAGATCACAGAGTTTGGGGTGTTTTTAAAACAGTTTCTGTCCATCCCTATGGAGATTGGCATCCTAAATCCAAGGTGAAACTACATTCTACTGTGTCTCCACTGTCACACAGGCAGCAAAATAGTATCTCTGGGCCATCAATCCCCTCCAGGGATTATTCAGGGCTGTTCTGCCAATTCTCCTTTCATCACTGATATTAGGACAGTTCTCCCCTTGTTGCTCATGCCTCTGTGTGTAGGTCCTACCTTTTAAGCTCATTCTTTGGCAATAGAGACTGTCACAGAATATGCATTTGACCAGGTGTGCTTCATTAGAGTGGGATCTGGGTGGCATCAACTTTTTGTTTTTGCTTTCCTGTGTTCTGCTGAAGGAAATATGGGCATATGGACCTGAGGAGAGCAACAGCAAACTCCAGTTACAGCCCTGCTCCAAATGGTCACGGGGTGAAGGACTGTGGTTGTAGTTTGTTCCTGCTGTGCAGTCAGATGTAGATGCAGCAGCCTGTGCATCATGACAGAAAAGAGGTGGGGTATGGGGGGATATTTCCTGAAGTTGCATTGTCATGTCTACCTGTAAGGCCATGTTCCACCCCTGTGAGAGCTGACAGAACTCAAGTTCTGTTAGTCCCGGCCAGCACTGTAACTCTTCCCCATGTGGGACTTCCTCTTTTGTGCAGGTGCAGTGTAAGATTTGGAAGGCTGGGCTGTCCTCACACTGCCCAGTTTGTAGTATTTGATGTTCTCACAACTGTACCTGTATTTTCTTAATTGTGAGTGATAGCAGACACATTTGTGTGCTGTATTCATAGACACAATTAAAAGAAAGCAAAAGCACATGGTAGGCAACAGTTTGAAAACCATGTCAGTCTCAATTTCAAAAACAGCTGTGAGGTGTTCTCTCACTGTCAGTGCGAAGTGTAGTCCATA